TGACAGGTTTTGGCATTTGCTTCGTTTCGGCCTTCCGACGGCTCAAGACGGCCCAAGAGGCCCCCAAGATCGCCCCAAGATCGCCCACGAGGCCTCCAAGAGAGCCCCATGACGGCCCCAGAGGCCCCCCAAAAGGCATCCAAAACGGCCAAGATAGCCTCCAAGACGGCTAAAATGACCCCAAGATGCCTCCAAGACGGCCCAAGATGCATCCAAGACGGCCCAAGATGGCTTCAATATTGCCCAAGACGGCCCAAGAGCCCTCCAAGAGCTCTCCAAGACGGCCCAAGAGACCTCCAAGAGGTCCCCCAGGAGGACCCGAAGAGACCAACATCATTGCTTTTCCTTAGGTTGTTGAAGCATTTGGGCATGTGCGTTTTCTCGGCATCCCGACGGCTGAAGACGGCCCAAGATGTCTCAAAGATCGCCCCAAGATCGCCCACGAGGCCTCCAAGATGGCCCCATGACGGCCCCAGAGGCCCCCCATACAGCCCCAAGAGGCCCTTCAAGACGGCCAAGGTGGCCTCCAAGACGGCTGAGATTGCCCCAAGATGCCTCCAAGACGGCCCAAGATGCATCGAAGACGGCCTAAGACGGACCAAGAGGCCCCCAAGAGGCGCCCAAGACGGCCCAAGACGCCTCCAAGAGGTCGTCCAGGAGGGCCCGAAGAAACCAAAATCATTGTTTTTCCCCACCATCCTGTGGTGTTGGGTCCTCGTTTTGAAGAGACGGTGCCCCGCGTTTCCTCTCCTTTCCTCTCCTCTCCTTCCTTCCTCCTCCTCCGCCTCCCCTCCCCCTCATTTCGGCGCACCCCTCACACGTTTCGTGGCCCCATAATAAGGAGCTCCACCGAGGGCCCCAGTGGCTGCGTTCGCATGGCGGCACCACGCCCATTTCGGCACACCCTTCACACGTTTCGTGGCCCCATAGGGAGCTCCACCGAGGGCCCCCGTGGCTGCGTTCGCATGGCGGCACCGCACCGATTTCGGCACACCCCTCACACGCTTCGTGGCCTCATAGGGAGCTCTACCGAAGGCCCCACTGGCTGCGTTCGCATGGCGGCACCGCGCCAATTTCGGCACACCTCTCACACGTTTGGTGGCACCGTAGGGAGCTCCACCGAGGGCCCCAGTGGCTGCGTTCGCATGGCGGCACCGCACCCATTTCGGCACACCCCTCACACGCTTCGTGGCCCCATAGGGAGCTCCACCGAAGGCTCCAATGGCTGCGTTCGCATGGCGGCACCGCGCCCATTTCGGCGCACCCCTCACCCGGCTCGTGGCCCCATGGGCTCCACCGAAGGCTCCAGTGGCTGCGTTCGCATGGCGGCACCGCGTCCATTTCGGCACACCCCTCACACGTTTCGTGGCCCCATGGGGAGCTCCACCGAGGGCCCCAGTGGCTGCGTTCGCATGGCGGCACCGCACACATTTCGGCACACCCCTCGCACGCTTCGTGGCCCCATAGGGAGCTCTACCGAAGGCCCCACTGGCTGCGTTCGCATGGCGGCACCGCGCCCATTTCGGCACACCCCTCACACGTTTCGTGGCCCCATAGGGAGCTCCGTGGCTGCGTTCGCATGGCGGCACCGCGCCCATTTCGGCACACCCCTCACACGCTTCGTGGCCCCATAGGGAGCCCCACCGAGGGCTCCAATGGCTGCGTTCGCATGGCGGCACCGCGCCCATTTCGGCGCACCCCTCACCCGGCTCGTGGCCCCATAGGGAGCTCCACCGAGGGCCCCAGTGGCTGCGTTCGCATTGCGGCACCGCGCCAATTTCGGCACACCTCTCACACGTTTCGTGGCCTCATAAGGGGAGCTCCGCCGAGGGCTCCAATGGCTGTGTTCCCATGGGGGCACCGCGCCCATTTCGGCACACCCCTCACACGCTTCGTGGCCCCATAAGGAGCTCCACCGAGGGCTCCAGTGGCTGCGTTCGCATGGCGGCACCACGTCCATTTCGGCACACCCCTCACACGTTTCGTGGCCCCATAGGGAGCTCCACCGAGGGCCCCACTGGCTGCGTCCGCATGGCGGCACCGCGCCCATTTCGGCACACCCCTCACACGTTTCGTGGCCCCAGAAGGAGCTCCACCGAAGGCCCCAATGGCTGCGTTCGCATGGCGGCACCGCGCCGATTTCGGCACACCTCGCACACGTTTCGTGGCCCCATAGGGAGTTCCCTCTCATTCGCTCAACCTGCTTCGCGGTACTCGCAACTGCATGTGGTTGGGTCCATGACAGATTGCGGCATTTGTTTCTTCTCGGCATTCCGACGGCTCAAGACGGCCCAAGAGGCCCCCAAGATCGCCCCAAGATCGCCCACGAGGCCTCCAAGATGGCCCCACGACGGCCCACAAAATTCCGAAGACGGCCCCAAGAGGGCCCCAAGACGACCCAAGAGGCGTCCACGGCGCCCAAAATGGCCTCGAAGCCAGCCCTGAAATGCCCCAAGAGGGCCCCAAGATGACCCAGACAGGCCCCCGTGACGGCTTCCGACGGCGCCAGACAAGCCAGGAACGCCCTAAGAGTGCCAAAGAGACCCCCAAGACCAAAGGCTCCCAGCAGGCCCAAGGAGGCCCCGAAGAGGCCTCCAATAAGCCCCTTGCAAGCCCCCAGGAAGCCCCAGGAATGCCCCAAAAGGCGCCCAAGAGGCCTCCTCCTCCTCTTCCTCTTCCTCCTCCTCCTCCTCTTCCTCCTTTTCCCCAATCCTCCTGTGAGTTGGGTCCTCGTTTTGAATTCGCAGCGCCGCGCTCCACTCCTCCTCCCCCTTCTTTCCACGTCCTCCTCATCCTCTTTTCCCTTCTCCCCATCACCATGACCATCATCATCACCATTATCATCCCCACCACCATCACCACCACCATCATCGCCATCACCATCACAATCGCCACCACCATCATCATTCTCGTTACCGTCTCGACGCACCCCTCACACGCTTCGTGGCCCCATAGGGAGCTCCACCGAAAGCTTCAGTGGCAGGGCCCGCATGTGTATTCGGGTCCAGTTTGGCACACCCCTCACACATTTCGTGGCCCCAGAGGGAGCTCCACCGAAAACCCCACTTGCAAGGCCCGCATGCGTATTCGGGTTTACTCTGGCACACCCCTCACACGTTTCGTGGCTCCAGAGGGAGCCCCACCGAATGACCCAGTGGCAGGGCCCGCGTGCGTACTCGGGTCCACTTTGGCATTCCCCTCACACGTTTCGTGGCCCCATAGGGAGCTCCACCGAAGGTCCCAGTGGCAGGGCCCGCATGCGTATTCGGGTCAACTTTGGCACACCCTTCACACGCTTCGTGGCCCCATAGGGAGCTCCACCGAAGGCTTCAGTGGCAGGGCCCGCATGCGTACTCGGGTCCAGTTTGGCACACCCCTCACACGCTTCGTGGCCCCATAGGGAGCGCCACCGAAAGTCTCAGTGCCAGGGCCCGCATGCGTACTCGGGTCCACCTTGGCACACCCCTCACACGTGCCGTGGCCCCATAGGAAGCTCCACCGAAGGCCCCAATGGCAGGGCCCGCATGCGTATTCGGGTCAACTTTGGCACACCCTTCACACGCTTCGTGGCCCCAGAAGGGGCTCCACCGAAGGCTTCAGTGGCAGGGCCCGCATGCGTACTCGGGTCCAGTTTGGCACACCCCTCACACGCTTCGTGGCCCCATAGGGAGCTCCACCAAAGATCCCAGTGGCAGGGCCCGCATGCGTATTCGGGTCAACTTTGGCACACCCCTCACACGCTTCGCGGCCTCATAGGGAGCTCCGCCGAAGGCCTCAGTGGCAGGGCCCGCATGCGTACTCGGGTCCAGTTTGGCGCACCCCTCACACGCTTCGTGGCCCCATAGGGAACCCCACGGAAACTCTCAGTGCCAGGGCCCGCATGCGTACCCGGGTCCACCTTGGCACACCCCTCAGATGTGTAGTGGCCCCATAGGGAGCTCCACCGAAGGCCCCAGTGGCAGGGGCCCGCATGCGTATTCGGGTTTACTCTGGCACACCCCTCACACGTTTCGTGGCTCCAGAGGGAGCTCCACCGAATGCCCCAGTGGCAGGGCCCGCATGCGTACTCGGGTCCACTTTGGCACACCCCTCACACGTTTCGTGGCCCCAGGGGGAGCTCCACCGAAGGCCCCATTGGCAGGGCCCGCATGCGTACTCGGGTCCACTTTGGCGAACCCCTCACACGTTTTGTGGCTCCAATGGCAGCGCTCGCATTGTGACTCGTGTCCCTCCTTGCATGTCCCTTACGAGCATGGCGCAGGATCGCCCGCGCAGTCTAGCTCAGAAGTGAGGTCGCCCATCGGGCCCTCTGATCACTCCATGTTCATGACCACGATCATGATGCACGATTACCGACGCGATTTGGCTCGGAGGTGAGGTTGCCCATCGGGCTCTCTGATCATTCCCGCTTCTTGACCAGCATGGCGCATGATCGCCGACGCCCTCTGGCTCAGAGGTGAGGTTGCCCATCGGGCCCTCTGATCACTCCCGATTCTTGGCCACGAGCATGGCACGGAATCACCGACGCGGTTCGCTGATGATGATGATGATGATGATGATGATGATGATGATGATGATGATGATGATGACGATGACGATGATGATGATGATGATGATGATGATGATGATGATGATGATGATGATGATGATGGGTGATGATGATGAGCAGGGAGAAGGAGCGGAGAGGAAAAATCGAGTGAGCGGCGAGGCGGGTAGTCTGCCTGGCCTCAACCGCCACACGCATGTCTGCCATTGCTGGGGACACATACGTGCCTCGGAAAGAGTACGGAGGGAAAAATGGAGTCCACATAGGCGTTTTCCGCCGCCCCCGATTGATTCATCAGAGGGGTGCCTGGCTTTGTGAATGCCGCGCTAGGGTGTTGGGCCCCTGACAAGCCCGCGCCTCACCAGGCAGCCCAGCGCGACAGCGCAGCCCAAGAAAAAGATCCAGACACCAGCCAAAATCAAGAGTGCTCATCGATCTCCGCGTCCTGCTCCGACTAGTTGACCTCAACCTCCGCGTTGTGAATGCCGCGCTGGGGTGTTGGGCCCCTGCCACGGCCAGGACACTCGAGCCCCACCAGGCAGCCCAGCGCGACGCCGCAGACCAAAAACAAGATCAACAAGAAGAAGATCAAGACACCAGCGAAGACTGCAATTAATCCCCATGGCTCGGTGGTGGCTGTGGTGTTTGACGTGGCCGAACTCGTGCCCGTATCAATGGTCGTCGTGGCCGTCTTGGTGGTCGTCGCGGTGGTCGTCCCAGTTGTTGTCTCGGTGGTTGTCTTGGTGGTGGTCGTCGCGGTGGTCGTCTCAGTTGTTGTCTCGGTGGCTGTCTTGGTGGTGGTAGTAATGCTTGACGTCGCGAGACTCGTGCCGTCGAACACGTACACGGAGCCAGAACCGCCGCCGTGGTCGTCGCCATAGTAGTACATCTGTCCACACCCCACCATCATGCGGGCCCGTCGGAGCTCACGGCCACCGCAATTCCGAAATAGTCGTCTTCGGCCCCATCACTCGCCACAAGCTTGAGCAGCCTCTCGCCGGTGGTACCGTCGAACACGTGCACGGAGCCAGAATTTTGGCCCTGGTCGTCGTCACGATGGGCCCCCACCACCACGCGGGCCTCGTCGGAGCTCACGGCCACCGCCATTCCGAAACGGTTGTCTGCGGCCCCATCACTCGCCAAGAGCTTGAGCAGCCTCTCGCCGGTGGTACCGTCGAACACGTGCACGGAGCCAGAATTTTGGCCCTGGTCGTCGTCATAGTAGGCCCCCACCACCACGCGGGCCCCGTCGGAGCTCACGGCCACCGCCACTCCGAAATAGTCGTATGTGGCCCCATCACTCGCCAAGAGCTTGAGCAGCCTCTCGCCGGTGGTACCGTCGAACACGTACACGGAGCCAGAATCGCCGCCCTGGTCGTCGTCATAGTAGGCCCCCACCACCACGCGGGCCCCGTCGGAGCTCACGGCCACCGCCATTCCGAAAAAGTCGTCTGCGGCCCCATCACTCGCCACAAGCTTGAGCAACCTCTCGCCGGTGGTACCGTCGAACACGTGCACGGAGCCAGAATTTTGGCCCTGGTCGTCGTCACGATAGGCCCCCACCACCACGCGGGCCCCGTCGGACCTCACGGCCACCGCCATTCCGAAACGGTCGTGTGCGGCCCCATCACTCGCCAAGAGCTTGAGCAGCCTCTCGCCGGTGGTACCGTCGAACACGTACACGGAGCCAGAATCGAGGCCCTGGTCGTCGTCACGATAGGCCCCCACCACCACGCGGGCCCCGTCGGAGCTCACGGCCACCGCCCTTCCGAAATAGTCGTATGTGGCCCAATCACTCGCCACAAGCTTGAGCAGCCTCTCGCCGGTGGTACCGTCGAACACGTGCACGGAGCCAGAATTTGTGAACTGGTCGTCGTCAAGATAGGCCCCCACCACCACGCGGGCCCCGTCGGAGCTCACGGCCACCGCCATTCCGAAACGGTCGTCTGCGGCCCCATCACTCGCCAAGAGCTTGAGCAACTGCGCGCCGCTGATAGCCTGGCGCCTCCCGAACTCGGCCTGCGGCTCGCGAGGGCGACCGCTCGCCGAGCCCTCCAGCCTCGGGCGGGCCAGCGTCCCGCTCGCTGGCGACCCGGCGCTCGGGGCGCCGCGCGCTGCCAGCAGCAGGAGCAGCGCGCCGACGCTGTGAGCCGTCTGCAGATGAGCACGAAAAGAACTAGAGACGCCCGAGGGGAGCCCTGGGAGGCCAGCGACGGCCCCTTGGAACCTTGAGCCAAAATTGCTTCGGACCTTCCGCTTTTGGTTTTGGTTCTTTTTCCAGAGGAACTCCCCCTGGCGCTTCGGCCCATCCCGCTGGCCACCCGAGAGGGAGCTCCAGGAGCTCAATCCCAGAAAAATCCCCCAAGACGGCTCAAGATGGCCTCCAAGATGGCCCCCAAGTCCGCCCAAGATGGTCCAAGATGGCCTCCAAGACGGCCCGAGAGAGTCCAAGATGCCTCCAGTTCGTCCAAAGAAGGCCTCAAGACGACCCAAGAGGCCTCCAAGACGCCTAGACTGCCTCGAAGACCGCCCTGACACGGCCCATGAGGGCCTGAAGTCGGCTCCGAGAGGCCTCAAAGACGGTCTCGGACTGCGTCAGATGGGCCAGGAACGCTCTAAGACAACCAAAGACTCCCTCAAAGAGTCCCCAGAGGTCCCCAAGAAGGCCAAGGAGGCCTCCCGAGAAGCATTCAAAAGGTCCACAGGAAGTTCCAACAAAGCACCCAGAGCCCAAAAGTGCCCCAAGAAGCTTTCAACAATTTCCTGTTCCCTCCTGCTGCTTCCCCCCTCTCCTTCTCCGTCTCTTTTCCCCCCAAATGTTCCCCGAAGGTGTCGAGGCGAGACTCGGGGAATACATGGTCCGATGGCTTGGTCAAGCTCCGCCTCCACCAACGCCCAAGATGCACCCAACACTGCCTCCATCGACTGGCTCCGATTATTTCCTCATGCTATTTTCTGGTCACCGAGTAAACAATGCAGTCCGTTGTCCCACCAAGTTTGTGCAAATGATAAATTTCAGCGCCATCGCACAAGAAGGCCAAGGAGGCCTCCCAAGATGGCCCCAAGAAGCCCCAATATAGCCCCAAAATGGCTCCCAAGACAGTCCCAAGATGCCTCCAAGACCGCAAAGATGGCCCAATAAAACCCTAGAGTAGCCCGAGAGGCTCCAAAGAGGCCTCATCCTCCCTTCTCCTTCTTCCTCCCTCTCCTCTCCTTCCTCCTCCCCCACCGTGTTCCCCGAACACTTTCCAAACCGATTCGGGGAACACATGGTCCGAGAGCTTGGCAGGTCTCTGGCCACAACGTTCGGCCACATAGGCGTTTCCAAAAAGGCAGGGGGCGGCGGTGATTCGCCACAGGCGTCTTCGATCCGCCGCCCCCTGTCGATTCATCGCAGGGGGGCCTGGCGTGCTGGACCCTTTCGGTTTTGGTTGTGGGTTATTTTCCAAAAGAACTCTCCCAATGGGTTTCGGCCCGTCCCGCCAGGGTCCCAGAAGGATTGCCCAGGAGCGCACACTCCACGAAAAATCCTCCCTGAAACGGCCGTTTCGCTCGGGACGTCCTCAAACAATCGCGAAGATGGCCAAAGATGGCCTCCAAGTCCGCCCAAGATGGTCCAAGACGGCCTCCAAGACGGCCCAAGAGAGTCCAAGACGGCCCAAGACGGCCCAAGAGGCCCCCCAGAGGCCTCCCAGACGGCCCAAGAGGCCTCCAAGAGGTCCTCCAGGAGGGCCCGAAGAGGTCAAACTCATTGATTTTCCTTAGGTTTTATAAGGATTTTGGAATTTGCTTCTTCTCGGCATTCCGACGGCTCAGGACGGCCCAAGAGGGCCCCAAGATCGCCCAAGAGGCCCCCAAGAGGGCCCCATGACAGCCCAAGTGGCCTCCAAGATGGCCCCAAGACGGCCCCAAGACGGCCTCCAACACGCCCAAGACGGCCTCCAAGACGCCCAAGATGGCCTCCAAGACAGCCCAAGCGCCCCAAGAGGGTCCCCCGTTGGCCAAAAAAGGCCCCCAAGACGGCTCCCGACGGTGTCAGACGTGCCAGGAACCCACCAAGATGGCCGAAGTTGCCGCGAAGCTGGCCCAAGACGGCCCAAGAGGCCCCCAAGAGGGCCTCCAGGAAGGCCACAAGAGCCAAAAACATGGATGTTCCTTAGGTTTTTTGACGAATTTTGACATGTCTTTTCGGCCTTCCGACGGCCCGAGACGGCCCAAGAGCCCCCACAGATCGCCGAAAGATCGCCCAAGAGGCCTCCAAGACGGCCAAGATGACCTTCAAGATGCCCACGTGTTCCCCCAAGGCTTTCCAAACCGATTCGGGGAACATGGTCCGATGGCTTGGCAGGTCTGGCCTCAACGTTCGGCCACATAGGCGCTTCCAAAAAGGCGGGGGGCGTCGGTGGTTCGCCGTAGGCGTCTTGGATCCGCCGCCCCCTGTCGATTCATCGCAGGGGTGCCTGGCGTGCTGGACCCTCTCGGTTTTGGCTTGGTTCTTTGTCCAAAAGAACTCTCCCAGTGGGTTTCGGCCCGTCCCGCCAGGGTACCGGGAGGATTGCCCAGGAGCGCAAACTCCACGAAAAATCCTCCCTGAAACGGCCGTTTCGCTCGGGGCATCCTCAACAAATCGCGAAGATGGCCAAAGATGGCCTCCAAGTCCGCCCAAGATGGTCCAAGACGGCCTCTAAGACGGCCCAAGAGAGTCCAAGACGGCCCAAGACGGCCCAAGAGGCCCCCCAGAGGCCTCCCAGACGGCCCAAGAGGCCTCCAAGAGGGGGGCCGGCAGGTGGGTGAGTTTGATTGAGCCGTGAGTGGAGAGCTATGCTTTCGACTGTGATGCTTTCTGTTGCGGACGGAGCGGTCGTGACCGCCTGCCTGCTGCAGGGGAGGTGCGCGGGCAGCAAGCGGGCCGCTGAGTTCCTGTGGGGAACTACGGTGAGCTGGGGGATCGTCGCGGCTGCACGCGGCCTCGAATTCTGGGTTATTGCATGTTTTTGTTTGGGTGTTGTGGGGTTCCCCACGGCGCTCCAGAAGTCCCCAAAGTGGACCAAGGCGAGGGGAGAATCTAACCCCCCTCCACCGGCCACTCCTCGTCCAGCGGTGGTGCACATGGCGCCGCAACGTGCCAGGAAGGCCGGTAGAACAAGGGTAGGCATGCCGCACTTGCATCGGCGAGCGCTGGTGCGCCTGGTGCGTGAGTGCGACGCTGTGCGGATTAGGGCCCCAATTTCTGGCCATGAAGTGATCAGATATTCCTCACTGTCCTCCAGGGGCGTCGACAGGGAGGGCATCGCGGCGGAGGGCGGCGCCCCCCCCCCCTCCCCTTTCCCTCCCTCTCCCACCACCGAACAAGATTTGGCGGTGGCGGTCGAGTCCGGGTTGGACGCCGAGCCGGAGGCGCGGCTGCGTGGCGGAGCGGCACCCCGCTGGAAGCGCACGGAGCGAGAGGAGCTCTTCGGGATGATCCGGGGGCTGCAGGAGGCCGTCCAGGAGCTTCAGCGGGCCCAATCGGGAGCGACGCAAACTGGGGGCGGGCGTAAGCCTTGGGTGTCTGTGGCCAAGAGAGGAGGGAGGAGGGGGAGGAGGAGGGAGGGAGGGGGAAGAGGGAGGCAGGAGAAAGGAACGCGGGACGCTCTGTTCAAAGCGAGGACCCAACACCGCAGGGTGGTTGGGGAAAAAGGAATATGTAATCATGCAAGCAAACACATCGTAACATAAAACCATATTTCCCACCCACGGGTGGGGGGGAAGGAGGAGGAGGAGGAGGAGGGATCGAGGGGGAGGAGGAGGTGAAGATCGAGGGGGATGATGATCGAAGGGGAAGGGGAGGATCGAATGTGCTGTTACAACGCTCAAGCAACGCTCAATTTACAGAGTGCTCGCCGGGCGTGTTGTTGAACTTGTTGTGGGCGGGGTTCTAGCGAACCTAGTCGCTGTAGTTCCCGACGCTGTAATGATGGCGTGCGCTCGGGCAGCCTAGACTTCTCGGAATACTGTCGGGTCGTCTTGAGAAGCTAGGGGAGGTGGGTGACGGACGGAGTGGTAGGCAAGGAACGCGGCAACCAGACGGAGGGCGTGGACGTGCGTGGGGAACAACAACAGCATGCGAAGGGGTACAGTAGGGGCCCGAACACAAGAAACCTTTCACAAGAAACCCAACCCTGAGACCCCAGGACACGTCCATCGAGTTTTGGTGTGGGACCGTCACGCTTTTCTTTCAAAACCATCGAAACCCAAGAAACCCAGGTCACCCTGGAGGCAAGCAGGGTGTTTCTTGACATGGGCCCCCACTGTGTGGACGAGGTCGCTCCTGTAGCGAGGCCGTCTCGGAGAGCATCTTGTCGACGAGGAAGTTCGGTTGCGAACAGCAACGTCCCCATGCGCGAACAGGTGACGCAGTGAGGGAGCTCGTCGGCAGCACCAGCGCACCCGATCCGAATGTGCACTCCCAGCGATGGTCGAGGTGGAGCCGACCAGATGTCGTCCAGGCATTCGCCCACGTCTTCAAGATGGCAGTCGACCAGGCGGGCGACAGCGTGCGCACGAACGTGAGCATAGCGTCGACATCGACGTACTCGGGCCAGAAGATGGGGCAGAGGGCG